TCTTTGGGAGTAAGTCCAATTATGCCATGGTTTTTTGAATGTCCTCGTGTTGACCATGAAGATTGAAGTGGATTGATCATAAGATTGTTAAGATGCGTGAGTGAGTTGTATTATAAAAGTCCCACATTAGAGAAGTTGTGTGACGTGGAACACGTAATATATTTAAGTTGACCTATAACTTATTGGTTTAAGCTTTTGAATGAATGTGGGTTCAACTTGATATATTGACGGGTTGAGCTCCCTTTTGGCTATTTCCTCGGGTGAAGGTATTGGGCTCTTGCCTCTGGAGAGGCGATAGAGTCGATTACGTTGCCGACTTTTATTCTGGAATTTAATTCAAACTATTACTTTTCTTCCCTTGATTGATACGTTGCAGGACATTATAATAAGAGAAAGAAGCTGTAGTAAAAGGGGAGAATAAAAGTAACAATAGGGAAGCCTTCAACAGAGTAATCGATGATTCTAATGGAAATCAATTGGACCCAACTTATACGACCCTCGAGAACGTTGTTATCCACTAAATTTCACGCTCCTAATCTCAACACGGTGTAGAAGAAGAGTTTTTCAAAGATGAGATGAGTAGACAAGCACTTAGGCGAATTTCAATGATTATGAACACATCCACGAATTATTATGACATGTGCAGTGGAAAGCCGCCCCTATTTCGGGGTCCTCGTTACGTGTAACAATTCTCTTTTCCCTTATCCACCCTCAATCTTATGGTTAGTGAGAGGTTCGATAGTTAAAACCCTCGAATTGAGGATTAATTAGATCGCTTAAACAGAGTTCTCTTTACGCCGGCGATATACTCTTTGATTTTTCATGATGTATATTCAAAGAACACACAAAAATCAGACAGTTGGGATATGTGCATAATTGAATATCTCCTTTTCAATACTTCGATTCTTTGTTCTCGGTCATTTTCTCTCACGTTCCTTTCTTTTTGGCTATGCATGCACCATACATATACCTATTTAATCTCTTGCTTAAGAAGGAAAAGTAACAGTTGACTAGGTAAATCTCTTGCTTCGTTTCCAAGCTAAGTGGACCGGAAGTTCTAAAACTTATCATAAAAGTGTAATTGAGTTTTAAAACTTATAAAAAGTACAATCAACTAGAGTATTCCCTTAAGAGGCTTGACCTATATTAATCAAGTTTTGGACAATGATCCTTATCATTATTACCCAAGAATAGACCATATCCTAATAATTCAACAAGTGTGGTGAGTTGATTCCGGGACTAGAGAGCTCCGACAAGATGTGATCTTTAATATCTTTCGAGAATGATGAAAGGGGTATGAATGACCAAATCACATATGGAGAGATTGTCAACCCCAAAGCTACCACTTGGGCACTTCTTTCCGAGATATCATGTTGGTCGGACTGTGTTTTTACAATCGGTATCAGAGCGAGGCTTTGTCCTGAAAAAGTGTTGGCTCTTATCATGTTTGTGAGACTGTGAAGAGGAAAGAATCAATAGAATGAATGGAGGAAACAAATCGCTTGGTTTTTCACATTCTAACTCTGTTTGTTTGGCGGAAAATATTCTCCATTTGGAAAATATTTTCCTGGAAGTCATTTTCCTGAAAAATGTTTTCCTGGAACACAATTTTCTGGTGTTTGGTTAAAATTTGAAAAAGTTTCGGAAAATATTTTCTGGTGTTCGGCGACCGCCGATCTGGCGGCGTCCGGCGACCGGCGATCGGCGGCGGCGACCTGTGGCGGCGATCGGCAACCGGTGGCGGGCGGCGACGGCAGCGAGAGGCGGCGGCAACGGCGGTCGGCGGCGGCGGGCGGCGATCGGCGGCGGCGACGGCGATCGGCGGCGGCGATCGGCGGCCGACGGCGGCGAACGGCGGCCGACGGCGGCGGCGACCTGCGGCGGCGACCGGAGGCCGACAGCGGCGACCGGCGATCAACTTCCTCTCCCACGGAAAACATTTTCCCTTCCATGGTCAATTTTGCCTTCACTTTGGGGGAAAATGATTTTCTCTTGGGCTGTGTTCGTTTGCGGAAAAATATTTTTCAGGAAAATATTTTCCGCGTTTTCCGGTGTTCGGGGACGGAAAATGTTTTCCGTGGGAAAACATTTTCCTTCCCCACCCCCAAATCCTTCATTGTTTTGAGGAAAATGATTTCCTCTTTTCACAAAGAGGAAATCATTTTCCCCCAAATTGAAGGCAAAATTGCCCATGGGAGGGAAAATGTTTTCCGCGGGAGAGGAAGTTGATCGCCGGTCACCGCCGTCGGCCGCCCGCCGGCCGCCAGGCCTGCCCGCCCCGGCCGCCGTGATCGCCGGAACGCCCGCCCGTCGCCGGCCGGCCGCCCCCGTCGCCGGCCGGCCGCCCGCCCGGCCGCCGATCGCCGGCCGCCGGCCTCCAGCCGACCGCCGTCAGCTTAAACCTCCAGCCGTCGCCCGCCGCCGGCCGTCGGAAGCTGGTTGCCCGCCGCCGGGAAGCCGGTTGCCACACTTGCCCCCTCCGCCGTGGCCGCCCGGCCTCTCGCCTCCGGTCGCCCGGCCCGCCGGCGATCGCCCGATCGCCCGCCCAGCCGCCCGTCGCCCGCCGCCGCCGGCCATGCCGCCGGCCGCCTTGGCGCCCGGCCGCCAGCGCCGGAAGCCGGTTGCCCGCCCGGAAGCCGGTTCTGCCGGCCGCCCGGTCGCCCATTGCCGGTCGCCATGCCAGCCCGCCCGTGTCGCCCATTGCCGGTTCGCGGTCGCCGCCGCCGCCGTCGTCGCCGGCCGCCATAGTCGCCGCCGCCGCCGCCGGTAGCCCGCCGTACACTTGCCGCTTTGTCGCCATTGCCGCGAAAAATATTTTCCGAAACTTTTTCATATTGGTCGCCGAACACCAAAAAATTATGTTATGGGAAAACATTTTCCAGGAAAATGACTTCCGGGAAAATATTTTCCAAAAGGAGAATATTTTCTGCCAAACGAACGGAGTCTTGAAGAGGAAATCATTTTCCCCCAAAGTGAAGGCAAAATTGCCCATGAGAGGGAAAATGTTTTCCGTGGAAAGTTATTTTCTGCCCCCGAACACTGGAAAATACGAAAAATATTTTCCGCCAAACGAACGGAGCCTAAAAAAACAACCCTAGTTCCAAATACAAGTAACCATCTGAGCACTCTGCTTCTGGAGGCTGAGCTATTGTACGATCAAGTCTGAGTTGGCAAAAAATTATATATTATACTTCAATCCTTATATTACTATTTAAGTTTCAGGCGGTACAATCTTCATCCGAAGCTACTAATTTCCTTCAAGTTATAAAGGCGACCACGATTGAGCTGTAGTAGATTAGGCTTCAAAATCTTGTGGACCTGAGATACCGGTTGTCTTGCGGAAAATGAATAAGTTGAAAGATATTTTCTATTGACTAATTATTTAAAGCGATACAAGCGATTATTTTTAAAAAAATATTTTTCAAATCATTTATTTTTCTGCGAAACAAACAAAGCTTTTAAAATCAACATCTTTGTGCCATCACTTTTTTTTAGTAATGGCTCATAATTCGCCAACATAGCAGATCGGACTGTCTGTTTCTTGTTCAAATTAATGGCCTGAATCTTTAGGTTATCACCTACCATGTCTTAATTGATGAGGATGACAAGGTCCAGAAGATGATGATATTCATCGTGTCAATTCTCGTGTCAATTCCGAGTCCCTGTGTATCCGACTGATTTCTTATTTTCAATGATTACTAGATGTTATGTGTAACCTATCATCTTCAGAACTTACAGTAGAATGGACTCGTACAGTCTCACATGGATGCGAAGTAGTCTGGATGTATACGGACTTTCGTTGTATGTATGCGTGTCTCCAAGGAGATTCTAGATTAACCTAACTTAATTCAATCAACCCCCATCTCTTTTGTATTCTTCAAGGGTACATATGAGAGTGTCTCAGCATTGACCGCCGGACATTTTTCTAGAACCCTTATTTTTAAAATGATTTATCGTTTACAAGGGTTATATAGACGTATGATAGGTTTGGACACGTGTTTGATCATGGCGAGATCCAATCTCCTAGTCCTTGCGGAAAGGAAAAAGAATCTCACGTTCTTCCCTTCGAGAAGGAGGATTAGGAAAGTATGATTGATCTGGTGAACACAGCAATGGACATGCACAAATCAGGGGGCACTCAATTGAAAACTAGGGTTAGTTTATAATAACCTGCGAAAGGGAGTCAAAGGAATGAATCTTTACCAACTTTTGGTGATCTCCAGGTTTGCTTGCACGTAATATAAAACTGTTTACTGCATGCATCAGGTGGCCCTAATAATACTAATTTGACTTGGCAAGTCGCGTTTTTACAACCGGTCATTTCTTGGTTAATTCATACGTCCGACAAGCAAGCGTGAATTGTAGAGCCCAGGCTTCTCTAGAAGATCCAAGTGTCTTCGTCTTCTAGAGCATGTGTTTGGGCACGCAATTGGATTATTTAAATCATTCGATTGCAAACGCGCATGCAAGTGGGGGGTGGGATCTATAAAGAAAAACCGTCACGTTTGGGGCAGAGCTGCGTAGCTCCTATCTCGATCGAAGTACCGATATTGGAGTGGTGTGAAGAGGGTACACAAAATTTGGTCCGCAGATTCTTATCGTGGGTCGACTATGACCCGTTTATTCAATATCAGTTTACAAAATTGGTCCGCATCTTCAGATATGGATCACATGCTATGACAAAATTTTACAGAGAAAAAACTACTACGTCGTCATCATATGCACCCCGAAACCACATAGTTTGTGAGTGTGGGACCCATGCAATTATCGCAAACCAACCCCATCACCTTTCGTCTCGAATACTTGGCTCGCGAGAAGCTTTTTTGGGTATATGGATAAAGATTATATGTTCCTTTTCATGTGCATGACCACAACAATAGCAAATTATAGATGCTCTGGTTCAAAAACATCGAGTCCGTTCACACTTGCCTAATCGAGACAAAGAACTCCACGTTATACGTTGAATTTGCAGCACTCATACATGTCATGTACACACTGGATTTGAAGAGGTCACAAGTTTATTCTGTATACTTTCTTTCTCCGTTCCGTTTCCTCAGATCTACAGTTGCATTTCAAGGTTTATTATTGCATACACACCAAAATATTCACAAAGAAAGCCCGAAAAAAGAAAAATCCCAGGAGAAACAACGTCCGTAGTTATAACATAATTAAGAGAAATAGACTAAATAAGGCCACCCTTTTTGGCCAACTTCACCAACTAAAACGCACAGCTGTTGACACTCACGGAAGGCGAAACGATCGCGAGCAACTCCTTATCTTGCTCGAACTTGGCCATGTCCTCCTCCTTAAGGTTGACCCAGGCCTCGATGCCGTCGCCGGTCTTGGTGTCCATGAAGACGATCAGGTTCTTGAAGGTGAGGCTCGCCGAGCCAACCCAGGCAGGCTTCCCCCACCCAAAGTCCGCCTCGTAGATCGGGAACCGGCACAGGCTTGTGAAGCTGAACGAAACCAACTCACCTCGGGAGAACCTTGCCGCCTGCTCCTTCAGTGAGTTCAGGTGGCCCTCCCCTTCCCGGAGCTTCCTAACGTACTCCCCATTCACCTGCTTGATCGCGTCTCTAACCTGTGCAAAGAATTCTTGGTTTGAGAAATGACGAAAATCTTTTACGGACATATGAAGTGTCACATGATTATTCAACTTTTCCACCTTGTAATATTTTACTATAACAATTTTATCAAGAATAATGCCAATTTATTTTAAGTTATGTGCCAAGCCGCAAATCGACCTTTAAGTAGGTGGGTTATATTAAAAACCAACAATTCGACAAATCAATTGGTAAACCAATTTTATAGACTGGTCTTACTAAACCTAATATCCCTTTTGTAAATCAATCTTCTATAGGGACAGAGAGCCGGTGGCCCCACCAGTCTGCAAGTGTCATCACCTGATCGACTATCTTGTGGCCTCCGTCGGTGCCGGCGTCCACAGTTGGTACCGTGATTGCCAACCTACTGATGTTGCCGAAGTGGCGCTCTGACATCGGCGGCTCTGTCCTCGTCCGAAGATTCACGGCGTGGAGCACAGTGTAGATCTTGTCCCCTCTGGCATCGATGGGCTGCGTGCTCGCCATGTAGCGGCTCCAGAGGAAGGACGAAAGGGCTTCGATACGAGTCGGGCGGCGGCGCGGGTGGTCGGTGGTGGCAGCAACAGTGTTCAGGTCGGCGAACTGCTCGCGGATCGAGGCGATGGTGGCGGCGTCGAAGATGAAGCGCCTGGTGGAGATGTTGTCCTTGACAATGCCAGTGGATGCCTGGAAGCCGGAGAGGTTGATCGGGGGGAAGAGCTCGGAGGAGTTGAAGCAAGGATCGATGATGTTGGGGTCGCCACGGGCGGAGACGGCCCAGGCGTTGAGGAAAGTGAAGAAGGAGAGGGCGTCCGCGACCTTGTGGGAGATCAAGAGGCTGAGGGCTAAGCCACCGCACTCCAAGAAGTTGACCTGTGTCAAGAATGCAAACGCCGTAATAAGTGCGTGAAGCTGTTGCATGTTCAGATAGTAAAGAATATAAATGCATGTAAGTTTGGATATGAAGTCCATTGTTATGAGAAAACTTGCGGATTTTTATCAGGAAGTCTAACAAAATTTTGGATGCACCTCAGAGATTATGGGGAAATAAGTTGCGCCACATTTTTACAAAATCGTCAGTCAAAATAATAATTTTTTTTTTGGTAAGGGAGTCAAAATAATTATTTTCGTTCACGTATATCCAATAACTTTTTTGTGTTTTAAAAAGATCTAGTAGAGCGCATGAAACGAAAGGATGTATATATGCATGTAAAAATATGTTGGGTTTGACACAAGACCCTACACAACAAAGTATCAATAAGGAACGTCATACTCTTGATCGCTTGGTGTATGGTGCAATTTTTGTCACAATTTAATTTGCGAAATTTCATGAAATCTATATCTCGCGCTATCTCGAGCTTGTTATTATTATTTTTTTAATCTTATCTCCTTGAGCAAGATTCCTGCATAAATGACCGAAAGACAACAAATAACTAGAACATATTTGAATGAGCTATGATGTAAATTTTATTAGCTGGCTACTTTGTGAGCCCACCAAGAATGCATATGTCAAAATTTGGTTCTGCATTTAACCGTGGTATAACACAATCTGACGCATGATATTATTATCTAAAGTTTTCGATCTAAATTGAGGGCAAAAGAAATAAAAAAGTTTGCCAGGTAAGTATAAGAAATAATGTCTTCTTTGAATTTCCAGATATTTATTTTTGTTTGGTGTTTTGAGCTTGATGAGAATACAGAACCTAGACAAGAAATACCTGGACAGCCACAGCCAAGTCCTGCACATCGTCGAGCTCACGGGGCAAGAACCTGTTCAACACCCGAGGGACTGGGTTCTCGAGGATATCCGAGAGCTTGCACCTGACCCGAGCCTCCACGTACAAAGCGCCCTCGTCGTTACAGTCGACGTAGAGGTTGTCTCTGACCCGACCTGCGAGAGGGTAGAACTTGGCCAGGGCGTCGGCCAGAGACCGCTTGATGCGGCTACATTTCTCATCGAGTGACACGCCGTCATCCCTCGGGAAGAAGATGACCAAGGGCATGAACACGGGGACCTGTATCTGGTCGAGGAAGGAGAGTTTGTAATGGCGGAGATGGTCCGGAGTTGGAGACGAGGGCTTGATGGTGTCTCTGGAGACGACTTCGACTTCCATCTCGGCCATGGTCATGGTGTTCTCTTGGCGGTTTCGAACTCCTAGAGCGTGTGTATTGATGTGTCAAGCGAGAGTTTAAGCTTAAGGAAGAAAGAAGATATGATGCAGTATAACTTACATCCTGCCCTCGCAATATAGGGTGGATTTATATAGAAGGTGGGATGATGGAGAAAAGTGAACGGGGAAAGGTAGGGTTTTGTTCAGCTTCAGTGCTTGAACAGTATATACTTGTTACCGTTCGTTAGTCCGAATTTTCGTTCTTTTGGGAGGGGTGGGGGCCACGGGAGATGAGCGCGTGAGCGATGCTTACGTGGCTCAATGTGAATGGCAGGGAGGCTTTGAGCAGGAAGAATTTTGAATTTGTTGACCAAATCAACGGCGAATACGTGTTTGCCAGCTGGGAAAAGCGGCAATGATAGGGAAATCCACGATCGGGGGTGCGGTGCGTGGATAAGAAGAAAGTAACGAGGTAAAACTTCATAAAAAGGTCATTTACCCGCAGAATGAGACACACATAAAATAAATATTTGGGTGAATACCACGAAAAATCTGAAACTGGTACATCTATCATAAATTTATCTGAACTAATTTTTTGATCACAAAAAACTCCAAATTGTTATACTCATGATAAATTTACCCTCCATTAGTTTTCGTTAAATTTTGCCATCAAATTGCTGAGTTGGATTACACGTGGCAATTGACGGGCCCCTCTATTTGTCAAATGTTTGCCAATTGTGGTTTTTCATGGTATTAATCTAATAATTTGTCACAAGTGTATCAATTTTGAGTTTTTTATTGCCAAAAAATTAATTTGGGGTAAATTTGTCACAGGTGTGCCGATTATGGTTTTTAGTAGTCAAAAAATCAATTCAAGGTATTAACCCTAGATAAGAAGCGTCTTATGCAGAGTTTAATAAATATCCTGTTGTACTTTCTAGATTGTCAATTACAACAGTTTCATTAATTTCCATCGTAAGTTGCCGTGGAAACCACATAAAATATATGTTTCTCTAGTGAAAATCAATAGGGTCAAAGATACTTAGTAATACCAAATTACCCGATCCTCAATGGTCACAATGCATTCGGAAGAAAAACGAATAATAGCCACGTCGAAGACAATTTCATAGACGACGGGTGCTATGTGGGACAGCCGATGATGACTAGATTGTCGCGTCAGTAGTTTCAGGTGAAAATCAACCGGAAGGATTGTATCGAAATTTTACAGGAAGGTTTGAGATTACATTAGGAGGAATATTGATAAATCTAAGACCGAATTGATATGATTAGGTTTTAGGGTTGGTTTCGTGATTTTTCCCTTTCTTATCGCGACACTTCTCTCGAGCTTACGGTCGGTTAAGGGATTTAAGATATTCGACGTCATAATGCTTTCTTTAGCGCGTAACAAACGAGGGAGGTGTCGTGTCTTTGCTTGTTTCCCCCCCTCCCCCCCCCCCCCCCTAGAAATCAATTACAAAAAACTTGTCTGTTTGTCGGGACCAAAATTGATTCGATGTACGTCTCAAATGTCAGAATTATAGACTATATAATATCAAGATGAACTATAGTTGAGTTGGATGGCATTAAGATGGTGTTTGAGATATTCCAAATAAATAGGGTAGTTGCAACCATTATGTATTCGAAATCGAAAATAAACAAAAAACCAAGAAAAATGCCAAAAACGACAATCATATAAAGACGCAAATTCACTCTATACAGGAGCTACGAATGAGACGGGGAGAAAAAGAGTAATTTTTTACTTTTCCATTAAAATTCAAAAAAAAAAACTATTGCAATGATATATGAATTCACAGGCCAATATTTATCCATGTGAACTTTTCACATGCATAAGATTACAAAAATTAAAATATATATGTCACAATTTATAAAAAGAGTTAATACCGCGAAAAACCTCAACTTAATATACATGTGACAAATTTATCCAAGACTGATTTTTTTTTTTTTGTTGGTAACCCGGGGAACCCCCGCACGGCCGACAGCCGGGGAGTAAACCCTGGGGGCAACACGTGCTAGCCACCACACACGTGCCACCGGTTAAGTCACCCTGCGGCGCCCGGGATTCGAACACTCAACCTTTTGCGAGAGGAAGAGTGCGCGCTCCAGCAGCGCCACCCAGGCGGGTGGTATCCAAGACTGATTTTTTCACCACCAAAAATCCAAAACTAGTATACACGTAACAAATTTACCATCCGTCAACCTCCGTTAAATTTGCTGACCTGGATGACACACGATGACATGGTATTGTAAATCCATAGGGTAAAACCATGAAAAACCCTATGGATTTCCACGTAAACTTGTCACGTTACCGTGTGTCATCTATGTTATCAAATTTAGGGTTAATATCATGAATAACCCTAAACTAGTACACACGTGACAAATTTACTCAAAACTAATTTTTTTATCATAAAAAATCGAAAATTGATACATTTATGACAAATTTATCCAAAAATAATTTTTTTAGCCAAAAACCTCAAACTGGTACATTTGCGATAAATTGACCCTTCGTTAAATTGGACTAATCCCACGAAAAATCATAAACCGGTACACCTGTGAAAAACGGAGGGTAAAATTCTAAACTGATATACCTGTCAACTGTCAAGTGTCATTCAACTAAAAAATTTGATGGTAAAATTTAACGGAAACTAAGAAAGGGTAAAATTGTCATAGATATATCAGTTTTGGGTTTTTGGTAGTCAAGGAGTTTTTCGTGATATAAACCCGTAAATTTAATAAACGACGGAGGGCAAATTTATCACAAGTATACTATTTTGAGGTTTTTCTTAATATTAACTCTTATAAATAAATAAAATAAGTAAAGGTCACTTAAGATAGAATGATTTCGTCCGCATGGACGTACACACAAGGCGGATGATTGGAGATTTCTTGATTAAAAAGGCACGTTTGTGCTCTCATATTTGTTTTGACTTCTGTCGATTCATTACGGAAACTTATATCGTAAGATTTGACTTCTGTCGATTCATTACATCGTTCTCGGTATTTAATGAACGGGTGGATTTCTCAAGTCAGTTAGTCCTTTTTTTTTTGAAAAGTCAACTGTCTTTATCTTCTTGGGAATGGATAGTCAACTACTTGGGAGACAAGAGAGGCGTTAGTCAATTTTACCCAATCTCATTTATTGGACGGCGGCTGCAAAACTACCCCACTAATAATTCAAACATTAGGACCAAGGATCTTTGACAAATCTCCTTCGAACATTATTACCAATGCTACGAATGTATTAGCAACACCACATGCACGATGCACCAACTTATGAAAGTTCATATTTGTGCAAATTTGTATTGCCATATATCTAGTGTGGTCTTTATATTTTGTATACAACCTAGTCTTGCTACTCGAAATTTTGAGATACTTTGGATAATCGTAGAATTTCGGGATGCAGATCGGAGCACATAACACCAATTTTCGCACTTTGAATTGAACTGAAAAGGAAACAAAACCACAGGGGATTGCTCGAGTGATAAACGTGTTCGTCCTCTCGCTCAAGACTTAGGTTCAAATCACCACACTTACCCACTTTTCCAAGAGCACAGATCTATATATCTGCAATATCACCAAAGGTGAGTTAAATAGAAGATTGTCACCGCCAATGAGAATTAGTCGGATCCTTAAAGAGTCCCGCCCACCTTTTAATATATAAAAAAAGGAAACTAAACAATAATAAAGTCACAAATCTTTTAAAATATTATTATTCCCAACTTTTATATGAAATTGACTTGTCCTCATTAACGAGGCAAAATGAGTTATGAAATCTAAAATCTATTAAATTAGACTCCTCATCAAAAAATCAAAAATCCAATTAATCAGAGTTAAATCTAAATTTCTAATCAAGTAATTCTTCCCGGGCATTTCAAATAGGCAAGTGTTGCGACTTGGCTAAAGATTATGAAGAGTATTAACATTCATTTTCAAAGAATTTGGACGTATAGATATGCTAAGTCATAATTTTAGTTGATAGAAAGACCAGGAAAATTGTTCAAAAGGTTATAAACTTATTATATTTTTATCAATTTAATTATAAATTTTTCAATTTTGTCAATTGAACCTTTTCACTTCTTGCCAATTAATTAGTCGGAAATTACTGACGTGGATGCCGGCGGGTTGAGATGGACTATTTTTAATAGTATTTTGATTTCTTTTTCTTTTTCCTTTTTATTTTCTTTCTCTTTTTTCCTCCCCTTCTTCCTCCTCTAGCCGATTGTCGGATCTCAGTAACTAGCCATAGGGGAGAGGGCCAGTGCAGTTGACTTTGCTAAGCTTGGGCGAGCCTCGCTCCCGTCGGCCACCAGCAACGGCGAGCCTTGCCATTGCTGGGCGAGGTCGGCCTTGCCAGATCTGACGAGGTCGAGGCTCACTCAGCAACAGCGAAGCGCGACCTCGTTGACCTCATCGCTAAACTACTTCCACCAAAATTATCATCATCAACTTTTCGTAATTCGGATTACTTAACTCAATCCTTCAAAACTATACGACTCTCTCCTTCACAGTACATGTTTACTCTCCATTGAATTCTTCAATATAATCATGCTTATTAAGCAATGCTAATCTATGTAAGCTGGTTCGGTAGGCAACAATAGGTTTAGCCCTAAAAAAAGGTTTCAAATCTAGGTGAAGACATCTCCATGCAAGATTTGCACTCATGAATGCGCAGAAAACGAGGGTTTCAATAAGTCACAGGTCAGATATCTTTAACATCGTGAAAAGACCAAACCGACGATGATGACCCTATTAGAACAAAGTCCACAAGATAAATTAATGCGAAACCTACCTAAGAGTGTACTATCCATTTACTTGGAAATTTCCGCGAGATTTTCGCTCCGTTCGTTTGACAAAAGATGCAATATTTTCAAAAATTATTTTTAGAAAAAATGATAATATTTTTTGGTGATTGGTTGAAACTTGAAAATAAATTAGAAAATATTTTCTATCGTTTGGTATGGATAATTTTCCTCCATACACTCATTTTAATAATATTTTATTTTAAAAAATCGAATTTCTAATATTATTATTCTTTTCTTTTCTTTTCTTTCTTTTTCTTTTTTCCTTCTTCATCGACTGGTCGGTGACCGGCCATAGGCAAGGTTGGGGTCTTGCTGATCTAGCGAGACTTGAGC